GGAACGAGAAAATTTTAAAAGGATATAGGTGCTTTCCTTCTTACAGAGCAGAAGTAGGTAATTTCTGCTTTTCATTAACATATGAAGCCCAAGATCCTACTTTCACATGATCTTTCTTGTGATAGGGAGGTATTCTGTAACAATGTTCTTAAATGCTTCCCTTGACCAGTGAGAGCAACAGCGATAAAAAGTCTCTATCTTCATCAGCTGGAAGGCAAACCCTCTAACACCAGCCACACTAGTTCAGAACAGCTATTTCATGTTAGCTCCCTGTCTTGGTACACTTATTGCTCACCAAGATTATGTAAGACCATACAAGGTAAGACAGTGTATTAAGTAAGACAACACAAAAATCACAGTAACATATCCATTTATCGTAAGTTATCGTAAGTATCCTGTTGTTCAGCCAACAAAACAGCCTATGGCATATCCAGGATAATTCTAAAATAGAAGAATACGTAAATCCACAATTCTAGATTGCTTCCTGTACATAAACTTGTCCAGAGCTCGCTTGCATATTTCTACAGCGACTTCATCATTGGCCCACCTTAAAGGACTTGTGCTACAAGGTTTCATCACTGTACATCAGCTGATCTGCAGGAATAGTTTGTATGAGCTCTTCTTGGCAGTAAATAATTCAAACTCTTCTAAACCTCTTTCACTGAGGAGAGACCGAAGCTAGTGTAATACAAGTAGAAATGAGAAGTCCACATTAAACACTTTCACCAGGCACTGGAACACTTTCAAAGCTGAGTAATTATGATTCCCCGTGGTTTCATAGGTTAAGAGAAACTAAAGAACAACTTTGAAGTTGCTTGTTGATGTCACAGAGTTAAGTGTTTTATATACTTACCATACCGAGTTCCTAAAATAAACTCCCTCTCTCTCTCTTTTTTTTTTTTTTTTTTTTTTTTTAGCACAGAGAAGTTGCATAGGGAATAGCAGCTATCCAGCCAAGGATCCTGTCTTCTGCACTGCGTAACGGCCAGTGTTTACAGGCAACGTAAGAACAGAATACAAAGTGGTTCTGCCCCCTTCATACCTTCAGCAGCACGTGAACCTCCTGAACTAGAGGTTTCATACCAGACCGTCACATTCGACAGGCATGGATTGATCTCTGAGCCTGTTAAATCAAACGTGACCTGTGGTTTATATCACTGTTGCCAACAGTTCTATTAATATCAACATACTTTTAGTAGCTTAACTTCAGAAATCCATGGAAAACATTTCAAAGTTGTTAAATTAATGGCAAGGAAAAGAATTCTAATCTGCACCATTTTCTTCAGGTTAATTTATTTTGAATATTCAACAGCAGGCACATTTATGAGCAGGAGGCAGGAGTATCTGAAGGAAACTGTCTATCCTCAATCCCTATCACTTTGACAATTAAACAAACAAAAAAACCCCCAGGTAAGTTGAAGCCATAAAATCACCACCAGTGGAACCAGGAAGCCTTTGTCCTCATTCTCTCACGTCTTTGCAGTATCAAGCAGACTTTTTGCTGGATATGGATCTCTGTGAAATGAATAAAGCCTTAGTAATCGATTTAATTACACTCCGTAATAAACTTTTCCTTTCCCAGATGTTAAAAACACTTAATGATTCAGATTCAGTTTGTAAAAGTTATGAGGTGTTCATCTAAAATCTTAATCCAAGAAATTGCTCAGGTACAGCAAAGACAACCAAAGGCAAGCCTACACAGGCGGGGGCAGGCAGGGCTGTGGTGTTCCCAGCTGGCCAGACACAAACCAGCTCCAGCCCAAAACACGCAACCGTTTTCATGTGATGTGTCCAAGTTAATAGGCTTTATTTAGATACAACACTGCAATAATACTTCTATACTTCAACCTTGAAGATCAGAGCAGGCTCCCGTCAGACGGCTCAGAGGCCAGGCAGCCAAGCTCCTTCCTCCACCAGACATGCTGGTTTGTAAATGTTAATCAGCCTGTTGCGGTTCCTTTCCCTATAGCAAGTGACAATTCTCACATGAAAACCCTTTCATTCAAGACTGTAAAACTGTACCTTAAGACACTAGACCCAAAGAAATCCATATCCAGTTATAAAGAAATCAGGGCTCAGTCCTGCAAGTTCTTACTCTGACAGAAAGCTCCTCTGAAAGTCAGTGGGACCAGGACCACCCTCCTGAGCAATATCCAGCCTGATAAGATTCTTATAACCAGCCCCCTGTCAACATTTTATTTTTTACATTAAATTGCTTGTATTCTAGTGCTGAAGTATCGTGGGATTCTGTATGCAAACAAATACCAACAAATATATCAACACATCTCTAACACTGCTTCCCAAAGTCTACTGCCAGAGACATTTCACATACCAAGCTGTGTGCTGAGTTCACAACACATACAAATACAGTTACAAAAGCAAAGTCTAATTTTATAAAGGCTCCAAAATAATGCATTCAAATTTTGCTCATGCATAGTCACATACAGCAGCCGGCAGCCTGTGTGCCTGCATCTTACCTACTCACTCAGCTGCCTGGTCAGAAAGCAAAAAGCAGAGTCAGAACGTCATTCTGGAGTGTTATTTTAAAGTATGCTGTGTGTCCCAAGTACACAGAGGTCATTCAAGGACTGTCTCCCCTTGCATCTACTTCTCTTTTTTTTGTTCCCTTTTGCTTCTGACTGGTGATACCAATAAGATACATAAATATGCTTATTTCACCATGTTGGGGTGAGATTTAGTTAATTTGTTTTTACAGCAGTCACACATTTGAATCGGCAGAAAAGCGTTTTAACACAAACAGTATTTGTTTTTAACGACAGAAGTACAAATTCAGTGCAGAGTACCAGAAACTCATTTCAGCATTCAGAGCTCTCAAGTAAGAGTTTAACAGAATAGAAGCTTGGAAATGGGATAGAGGAAACTTCCATTAAGCGTACAAGTCCAATTTCCAATTAATGTAAACTAAAAGTGCCAAATAATAATCTAAAACAAAAACATCCCTCATCCTCCCCCTCCCTGCCTCCAGTAAGTTTAGTTTAACAGTATCCAGCCCAACTTCTGGTTGAGTAAACAAAGAGACGACTGACATTAAGATAATTCCAAGCCGACAGAACATAGAACTAGAGATGAGATATAATGCAGTTTTGCCACTATTGACTGACGTCTTCATAGCCACACAGGTAAGGAGAGCAACTCTGACAACGCAGACACATGCCCTGCCCAAATGTTCTGGTTTTATGAAATAACCTTTTGCTTACATGAAAAGTGCATTCTTCTACAAAAAAAAAAAAAAAAAAAGAAAAAGTAAATAAAAAGCGATTATTTCCGGGAAGACAGACAGCTATGAAGTTTTCTCAAGAAATCTCAGTTTACATATATATAGGAGTGAGTTTTATGTCCAGAACATCTTAGAATTTAAACAAATGAGAAGACGACGCTAGTACAGTTACAGACGCTTGTAGTCTGGAAAGGATCATTATTAGCGCAGAGTTCCATCTTCCCAGAGCAGACAAGGAAGAAGCTGAAGCAGCCTGGGACTTACACATGCGAAGCGTACTGACAGTAACCATTCAGGAAAAGAAAAAAGGTGAGGAAAAAAAGAAAAAAGGTGAGGAAAAAAAGAAAAAAGTTGAATCATACCCTAACTAAAACAGTTTTGCTGGTATAAAAATCTTTGTGTAAGTTAAGCAGCATAAATGTGATGCCTCATGGTTTAAAAACAACGGAGGAAACCCAAAGAGAAAAACAGAACTAAGATGGAAGTTTGTAGGAGAGAGAAACAAGAAGAAAACAAAGGAAAGCATGAAAAGAAGCTCGTTGAAGGGAAAGGTAAACAAGAACAAACACTGGTACCTTAGGGGTGGGGAAGGAGGAAAAAAAAAAAAAGCAGTGACTTATTTCTTATCAGCCTAGGACGTAATTAATATTCAATGGTATTTCCCTTAGCTACCAATCTATTTATATCTAAACTATCAATAGTTATATCTGTAGCCACAATAAACCATGGATTAAGTATCTTCCCTTAGTTTTTGAGTCGCCTCCAAAAAGAGTTAAACATTTTAAAAGCGAAAGATTACAAATTGGGGAACCTAAAAAAGATTTGCAGCTATCAATGAAGATAAAAACCAGATACGGAACTTTGCAAAATAGGAAAAAGCATTTTGCAAAAGGGTATGGTCAAACACTAGAGGCAGGATTCTACTGCAGCTGGAGGCTAAAACTCGGGTAAAGAAGAAAAAGTATTTCCTTTTTTATTATTTTGGTGGAGGAGAGTGAAAAGAGGATCAATGTTTCCACTTCCAAATTCACTTGAATTTTTATGAAGAGTAGACCTTCCAACCTACAGCCACCAACAACCAGCCGCTTTACAAGAGATCTCATCACTTTATGCTACCCCTTAAAATCAGGAAAGTAATCAAATTCAGAACAAATTACAAAAGCGGACCAAACATTCTGAAGAATTCCAGAAAGGGTTGCGCTGAAGAGGGATTTGCGGAACCGAAGACAGTGACAGCAGCAGCAATATGGAACTACCAAAAAGGTGTCTATTGATTCCTTAAGAATAGTGTGAAATCTCTCATTTCTTGTTTTTCCCCTCGTTTTTTTTAGCCGCATGTTGTTTTTGTTGAATGCTACACAGTTAATACAGGCTTTTCCACTGAAACATTATACCCGTTCTCACAGCAACAGATGAACATTCCTGAACTACTTTGCTACCAGCAAATATGCGCTTTATTGTCCTTATCATTGGTAAGACATTGCTCAGGCCTTTCTATCACTCTAAACATGAAAATATTAAGTAAAAACAAAACTGAAGCCCTGAGCAACACTAGAGGCATTATGATACGCATTTAGTTGTTATCTGAGGTATCTTTAAGGTATCTGTCAAAGGCTCTCCAGCTGCCAGAGACAGATGACCACAAGAGAGCCCTGCTCCCCCCTACCCCCAAGGTCTTTTCTCCAATGATGCAGCCAGCATTCTACCAACCCCACTGCATTCTGCAGCGCTACAGCAAGCGTGGCCAGTTCTGCCTACTCACCATGGAGGGTAGATGTGGATGATATCCTGTGGCCTGCTCTTCAGGTGAGCTGCCGTCTCTCTTGCAAAGAGGACTTTGAGTATTGGTTCTCCTGCACTGATGACAGCATCCTCGGATGAAAGCATAGCAGGACACTGTTCCAGCTGCTGGCAGATGGCAACTTGTATTGTACACTCCTCAAACATTTCTAAGATCTTCACAATTAAGACACCGGATTTATCTGGAAAGTAAATTGAAATGAAAAATAAAAATGCAAAGTCTGGATGAGGCAACAGAAATTCTGTCACTTTGAAGATGTGCGTCGCTCTGCTCTTTGCAGATCTGTCTGACTCTGAAAAATCCAGATGTGAGTAGAATACATTGCCCCACCAAAAGACTTATGTTAGGGTTTTCTGACTGATAATTTTTCTTCTCTTTATAGATACTATTAACTGTGGAGACAAAAGCCCACCTGCACTTCTTCTGAACACCAATGAAGTCACAAACTCTTTACAAGAAGCCCTCTCCCACCATGTTTAAACTTTTTAATCTCGCAACTCATTCACTTTGTTCAGTCTTTTTTAATTAGATACTGCACAAAATAAATTTATGTAAAGACAGAATAATCACACTGTGTTAAAAGTGAAGCTGTGTTTGCCCTCTTTGACCTTTCTGAAAGCAACAGTTGTCAGGGACACAGTTAGAAGAGTACTTCTTTGGTACAAAGCATCTAAAAGCAGAGGATTCACATTTAGAGAAGAATGTGGAGAAAGAGGGGAGTAAGACAGTTGCACTGCCTAAAAATAATTATTGCAAAACTGATCATCCATTTTATCAGTAGGCAATCAGGATACAGAAGGCTCTCTTGTCTTAAAGCATCATGGAGAGTTACCAGCATCCCCACAGTTCCATTTAAGCACTTTTGTCACTGAGGGGAGAGTTACTGTTACCCACTTACCGAATGCTATGAGGAGTTAGTGAGGAAAGACAGGGTGCCGGAGGACAGGGGCAGCAGAGCCCCAATTCTATCCATTTTGATGCACAAGTTGCACTGGGAAAAACACACCATCCCAAGAAAAACAGCTGATACAAATTATTGTCTTCCCACAGCAAAGAAGAAGCAGGGGACTAACTGTGAACATGGTACTGGGACTTAATGGCAGAGCTGTGCTAGTTCGTTGTTTGTTTATTTTAAGGCTCATTTCACAATTGTGAATGCCTTTCCTTTGGAAAATAAATCAAAATATTTTAGTTTCAGTTTATGAGAAACTTCAAAAAAAAATTAACCCAACCCTCAAGAAACCCAAACAATAGAAACTGGGCCCTAAACCTTTCAGGTTTATTAAATAAAGTTCAATTCTACAAAAAAAAGAAAGTATTTTGTCCCTGTTTTGTATTCCACAGTCTTTATTACATTTTATACTGAATCTGAAGTAAAGTGATTTTGAAATATAAAACTGAAGTGTTCTGAAAACCACTTTTATATGAACCAAATTTTCATCACACGCAACATGCTTCTCCAAAGCGTTCTTGTTTCCCATGAACCGTATTTTCCAGCAGGAGAAAGGGTTCCACCAGAAAGTGCCCCATGTGATGTACATAAGCCATTTCTGTCCAAGCCATTACAGCTTGACCTCCTTTTCCAGATCTGAGAAGCAGGAATAAGAGAACCGATCCGTTCTGCCAAATCCTTTGAGACTGGCTGATGAAGAGAGACGGTTGCCACCGCTATTACTCCTCATCGCTGTCCCCTTCTCAGGGAGAGCTGAAAGATCGCAATGCCACTCCAAATACTCACTGTGCTGTGTTAAGGTCTGCTTATAAGCAAACTTCTGCTAAGTGTGCGCACAGGCTGGTTTTCTATGCCTAAAGGCAAGGACTTAGAATATTCACACTTGAATTCTGTTTTGCCTGACTAGCTGCAGTTGTGGTCCTCTGTCAACCCCAAGTCATCTGGCACACATAAACCAATTCTCCCAACCACAAAAATTCTTAGCCTTCAAAGTAACTGAGCATTTACCTCTCCCCTCTGAACATACTGCACAATTTGCATTTTCATCCACATTAAAAACCAAGTCACAAAAAAAAAATCCACTTCAATTTTGAAACACATCAACAGTTTATTAAAAAAAGAAAAAAATATTATGACAGCTCATGAGAGAGACTGTTCATCACTTCTGAACTACACATTTCTTATGTGGAGAATTTTATGACAATTCTTACTGGTCAGCAGCATATATGTTACTCAGCGGATAAAGCAGCTTGAAGACAATGAATGACAACCTAATAACATTTTTCTTTTAAATACCTCTGACTATAAACCAGTTAAAAATACTGGATAAATCAAGAACAGTATCTATATGAAAGCTCCCAAAAGACACTGGAGGAAAAAACCCTGCCACGGTACCAGAGTCTCTTGCAAGCCAGTCTTAAAGTTGGTGCAAACACTGGGAGCTGATACTAAATGAAGCTGAACACTTCTACATTAAAAGCAGCACAATTTCAACAACTAGCCAAGTCTCACACTTGGCACACATGCACATTCTACAGAACCACAGTCTATTTGTTTATTTAGATGCCCAGAGATAGTTTAATTTAATTACTCAGAAATTATTATTACTGATGATGATAGAATGCTCTCTCAAACAACATGGCAAAGCACTTTGGATTCCTGGCACGTGATGAAACACCAAAGTTCAGAATGTAGCTTCGTTTTTAATTCATTTGGCTCTTGTATGGTTATGTCAATCAACAATAAATCAAACATATGTGGCTGCACATTGAAGGGAGAGTTTGTGGGTAAGATGATGAGCTGGATCACTGCAATTTCTAGGGCTTCCAGAGAAGTCTGCTTGTTTGTTCATCTGTGTGAAAAGCTTACTTTAAGGTTTTGCAACATTCTCTTTCACCTTTGGATAATTCACAGTTCTTGCTTGCTGAAGTCCTCGTTCACTTAATTTCTCTTGCAAAGCAGAATTACCGACCAAGAAATTCAAACCTGCAGATGTGCAGGTTTCACAGCAATACCTAGTAGTCTTAAACAAGGAAGAATACTTCACAATAATATGTATTAAAAAGGTGCAAGCAATAACTGTGCTGCACTCCTGCCCATTCCTACACTGCATATCCTTTCATTTCCCATTCTGCTGTCTAGAGCACTCATGAGTTTTTTTCTTCATGGTTAGTTTTGAACAAAATCAATGGGCTAATCCAGCTAACTGCAAATCCACCAAAGCACATGAACAGCTAACAAGGGAGAGGAAGGAACAAGTGATGGAAAGGGAAGGGACTGAGGGAAGATGGTTCTTCTCAGTGACAGCCCAACCAGGTTGGATTACACCAGTTTCAAACACTATCCAGTTACTTCTTTCCCTCTAAAGCGTCTTGGCTTAACTGTTCTCGAGAACCTCCTCCAGCACACAGGAAGGACAGGCAAGATGAAGTCACTGAACAGAGATACCGCCTGTTCAAGGTGTGTGGTCCACAGGCATGTTTGATACCATAAGCATACATACATTCGACAACTCTTGGCCAGACTCTCTTTCATCTTTTTTAAGCCTCAGTGTCTGCAATGGATAGGCACCACACTACGGTAATGAAAACATGGGTCAGAGCATACCTAGTGTTACCTTTCAACCACCGACTCTACGCATAATGTTATATAGTGGAGGGACCCTGAGAAAGAGAGAAGGAATAAGAACTGCAGGTACCTGTGGAATGCTCATTTAAAAAAAAAAACAACTTTAGTTTATTTACTTGAAGGTAAGCCGCCTTCTCTCATTGAAAGAAGAGTCCACAAGCACATTCACGGAGAGCAAGCATACAGCTTCCCGGATGTGTTTGTAAATCTTCCCACTCAAGCAGCAGTTTGAAGGCTGCTTAACAAAGCTCTTCTTTGGTGCCAGATGCCTCTGCAACAGTGTAACGCTTGAGGGAGATAAAGATGGAAACCCAGATAGCTCCCTGATCAGTGTCAGACGTAGGTGAATTTCTCAGCAAAGCCCTGGGCACTCTGAGCTGCTGGTGACAGAGGGCTGCTGCAGCTCGGCGGTCCTGGAACACAGCCTAGCATGGACAGCTGCCCCTTCCAGCACTTCTCTGTAGCCTTCACACAGAGTCAGCTGGGAAGTTAGAGAAAACATCCAGCGACACAGGCTCAAGGATCGTTTGAAAGATCTGGCCCCATGAATGTAAACAGAGAGCTTATTCATCCCAGAGGCATGAAATATAAATTCAATCCCTGATACACAAGGCTTGAGGTGCCACGAAGAAAGGCACTGATAAATCTGGTTGAGTGTGAATTTCGAAGAGGTATTTGGGATGTACAACATGTCTCCTCTAAAGAGCACCATTTAAAAGGAGGGAAAACCAGCCACCAGGTCATGTAATGCTCCCTCACTTCTAACAGAATTTTCCATAAGAAAAACCTTCACAAAGACATGCAGCAACATGCTGACTACTAGTGATTCAAAAGGTTGGTCACAGAAAGGCTGGAGTACAAGAAAAATCAGGTACCAGTGATGAACTGGGCCAGTTTCCACCCTTAAAGGTCACATCAGCCCTTTGCAGCACACTGCTGTGGTAAGTGCCACCCACTGGAAGGCAACAGACAGAAATCATTGCTAGATGGACCGTGATCAAACAAATTAATTCCTCCAGACCTCACAAGTGGTCCAGAATGAGTGAAACCAGCAGGAGAGACTGACTGGTGGAAGGAACAAGCCATTTAAGCAGGGAAGTATCTCTGGTGAAGCCTATGATTGACAGTAACCTCCCTCACCTCCCGGCTAAGAAACAAGAAGCTCTGACAAAAGCCATCCAGCATCCCTGCCACGGCTGGACAGGCAGATTTAGCACCATCCCACCAGCATACACAGCAGCCACATCCTCAGGCTCCTCAGAGACAGATGAAGAAATCCTGACCCAAACCTAGGCAAATGGGACAACCACCTCTCACTGCTACCGTCAGGAGAACCTTTGAAATCACAGGGAAAGATATTTTTGGTAACAGTAGTAATAGAAAAAACCTGGCAAAGACCTTGGGGCATAATTTTCAAAAAAGCCTAATGCTTTGCAATTGTGTGATCAGAATAGGTCTATTTTGTATGCATGCGTTCAGAAAAACAACCAGTAACTTCTTGGTAGGAGAAAAAAAATTATTTAGAACTACTAAGAACACAGACACTAGCTCTGGTTCAGAAAGTCCCAGAGTCAGAGATCTTTGGGAGATCGTTGGGAGAA